AGTAAAGTACGACGTTGAACAGCGTTGAGGACCATAATTCCTAAAAGTTTTGCCAATTACAGCTTATGTGATCTATTCCTGAAGTAGAAAAGCTTTAGTATTTCATTGCAATGGAAAAGGTAGTAACAAACTAAAAAGATGTGAAATATAGGAAAATTGTGTCGGAAATTGTCTTTCCTTGAGTTCTATATATTGATACTTATATGTAACTTATCCTGTTATATATTTTTAAGTTTTGGACCACTAGTATAAACCATCTTAAAATTTAGTTTTTCCCCTACGACAGATTTACTTATGCATAACTTAATTATGAATCAGATGAGAACTTTTTATATATGAATCATATCCTAATATTGAAATAAGTATCAATCATTTTCTTAAGGGTATCTTCTTTGTAAAAAATAAACCAAAATACGCATTAGAGCGATCGATATTGTTCATTTAAAATAACTTATGAATGGAAGTGGTTTTAAACCATTAACGACATAAAGGCTACAAATAATCAGTAAACACTGCCATTTCAATGTGAATTGTTCATTTTGTTTTAGATCGAAAATCATGTTTTCGCATTACAATACTCGTTAACCTCAACTTTTACTTTCATCATAGTTTTCCTAAAACCGTAAAGTTGAAAAATCTGAAACTAACCATCCTTTTTTATCAAACGAACTTGATATAAGACTAAATGATTTTTATAATTATAGCTATTCTAATAAAGATCCTACCTACTCGTCATGAAAATATTTAAAATGATCCGCCTAGATATAAGGATAAACAAAGTGTTATCTATAAATAGCACTGATTAATAGACATTGCAAATACAATGTATATATTTGTTAAATGCACACGTATACAAATTGCGGTTTTTATCCAACGCAATCATAGGTATGAACGTTGTTTTCAATTTAGACTTGTTTATATATATATATATATATATATATATATATATATATATATATATATATATATATATATATATATAGAAGTCTATAAAAAGGACCAACCAGCAAATTTACTATGTACCGGATCGTCTAGAATAGACGATACTGTGCAGATAAGGAAAAAAATTATATAAGTCTAGAGATTTGCACAACGATACTAATATAAGATGGTATTATACGAAGATGTTGTTAATAAATCGTGTTGACAAATATTTCGGCTTAACAAATAGCCTTCTTCGGTGTCAATTATTTTAACAATACTGATAATATGTATAAAAATAGCTCAATAATACAGGTAAGTTTTGGTCTATTGATTTAATCCAAAATCCTGAACATCATAATATAAAACAAAACTCAATACTCAAATATACGTGACTGTGTATATTTACAACCCAAAATGAGTGAAAAATAAAACTTAGTATTTTTTATTGATGCCGTTTGGATGATGTACATTTAGTTCCTTTATCCAAAAGCTTTCCCGAACCTGTCGCTGGGCATCACTCCAGTGAATGTTCTGTTCAATCACTAGGATCTTCATGCGGTTAAAGTCATCAAGTGTGTGACCAGACTGTCTGAAATGCTGAGAAACTGGGAGAAGTGGCTTCTTAGAGATATCACTCATATGGTCATTGAGGCGTTTGTGGAAAGGCTGCTTTGACTCACCAACATATTGGAGGCCACAAACCGAACATTCTAGAATGTAAATAACATTCATACTTTTGCAGTTAACATTGCAAAATATCTTATAGTTATTTTCGGTTGCCTTACTGTGAAAAGTTGATGAGTGATGCATCTGTAGGCAGCATTTGCAGCGTTTTTCATCACACGAACGACATTCTCCAGAAGTACTTCTATTTTCAGACACTTCAGCCCGCACCAGCAGGTTACGCAGACTATTGGGTTGCCTTAAAGCTATCATAGGAGGCTCGGGAAAAATCTTGGATAGTTTGGAATTCTTTTCAACTATTTTCCAATGCTCACGAATGACACCGAAGCTGTTTTTGAGAGATGGGTGGTAAGTAAGAACACATGGAGTCCTTTTATTTTTCTTTTTATATTTGTATTCTAACAGTTTACTCCTTGGAATAGTTTCCGCTTTCTGAAAGCCTTTTTGGATAGTTTTGTGTTTGTAGCCCCTTCTCTTCAAGCGGGTTTCGAGTTGACGTAGTTGTTTTTTAGTTGTTTCTGAGTTGGAACATATTCGCTTGACTCTTAGTGCCTGACTGTACGGGATGCTCTTAGTACAATGAGCAGGATGGCAACTTTTAGGGGACAGATATTGGTGAGTGTCAGTAGGCTTAGAATATAGATCAGTGGATATGATGCCATCTGTGAGCGAGCTTGAGGTATCGAGGAAGGTGATTTTGGATTTAGATTTCTCATGAGTAAATTTGATACTTGGATGTATGTTGTTGGCATGAGTGATGAATGTATCTAAATTCTCGTCACTTTTATTCCATTTCATATCCACATCATCTATAAATCTAAACCAGGAAAGCGGTTTTTCGATGGAAGATTCAAGGAGTTGTTTTTCTAATTTGCCCATAAATATGTTGGCATATGATGGAGCCATTTTGGTGCCCATAGCAGTTCCATTAACTTGCAGATAGTGGTCTCCATCAAAAGTGAAGTTGTTGTTTTTGAGTACCAGCGTGAGCATTTTGACCAGGCATTCAGTAGGTGGATATTTCATTGGTCGGGAATTCCAAACTTCTTTACATGCATCAATGCCATCTGCATGTGGAATATTCGTGTAGAGGGAGGTGACGTCCATAGAGACAAGTGTCGTGTCGGAGGGGGTTGGATTTAAGGCCTGCAATTTTCTAAGATAATCGGTAGTATCTTTGATGTGAGATGGTAAGTCCTCAACATGTTGACGAAGATGGAAGTCAACGAATTCCGATATTTTTTCCGTCGGATGACCGTTCGCTGAAACTATAGGTCTTCCTGGGTTATTGGCCTTATGAATTTTAGGTAAAAGATAAAATCTGCCCGGTTTTGGATTTTCTGGTTTCAAATATTCTAGAGTCTTTTCATTGATGAAACCATCGTTGTGCATTTCTACCAAACTATCAGTTATTTCTCTGCTAAAAGATGTTGTAGGATCAGAGTCTAGTTTTTGGTAGAACCTTGCATCGCCAAGTTGTCGTTCAGCCTCTTGAATATAGGCAGATTTATCCATGACAACCACTGCACTGCCTTTGTCTGCAGGTTTAATGACGATATTGTCGTTAGATCGTAAGTTTTTCAGTGCAGTTCGTTCTTCATTGGTAAGATTGTCAAAAGGTTTATTGTTATTTCTAGTATTTCTAATAATATCCGACTTAAAATTGTCAATAAATGATTCCAAGGTGGCATTTTTGCTCGGTTTAGGGATCCAAGTACTCTTGTTTATAAATTTGTAGTTGTTTTCGTCTTCTGAAATTTCTGAGTCGCTATCCGAGCATCTGTTGTTGTTCTCCTTCGACGCGAAATATTCCTTAATGCGTAGACTTCTGGCAAAATTGTCAAGGTCTTCCGACAATTTAGTTTCATTGACAGGGGCAGGTAAAGGACAGAAATTTAAGCCTCTCGAGAGAAGAGATGTTTCAGCTTCCGTTAACTGGTGTTTGGAAAGATTGACCACAATGTTGGAGGGCGAATCAGTCTCTAGTGACCTACGTTTAAAGCGCCTTACTCGTTTTCTCTTTTTTTCAGATGTTAAAGAAGGATTGATATGTTCGATGCCATCCCTACGGAATTTTCTTTTCTGCCTTTCACTCAAATTTTGAGATTGTATGGTTGTTATGTCTTTAAGGCGAGCACTGATAGCATCACAATTGTCAGATGTGAGATCTTTTTTGCAGCTATTTGAAAGGGTGTTAAATTCGCCAGTAAGAGTTTTCAGATATTCTTCGCAGTGTTGTTTGAGGAGGACCATTAACCGCTTGGAACAATGGTAGAGGGTTTGATCCCATTTGCGAAGTAATGTGTTGGATAAATTGCCAGGTGTTTGTGGCATGAGCCTGATTTGAAGTCCGTTAGGAATACTTTCATTATACACATAATAGGTTAAATTAGATAAGTGGTGTTCAGTTCTAATTTGTTTTTGTTTAATAGCTCTAAGTTGTTTAAAATAATCATTGATGTTCATGATATAAGAGCTGAAAACTTAAATTCACTGGGATTATGTGAATAACATAATACAGGTCATTCAGAGGAAAATAATATAGAAGTCTATAAAAAGGACCAACCAGCAAATTTACTATGTACCGGATCGTCTAGAATAGACGATACTGTGCAGATAAGGAAAAAAATTATATAAGTCTAGAGATTTGCACAACGATACTAATATAAGATGGTATTATACGAAGATGTTGTTAATAAATCGTGTGATAGCTTTTAGGCAACCCAATAGTCTGCGTAACCTGCTGGTGCGGGCTGAAGTGTCTGAAAATAGAAGTACTTCTGGAGAATGTCGTTCGTGTGATGAAAAACGCTGCAAATGCTGCCTACAGATGCATCACTCATCAACTTTTCACAGTAAGGCAACCGAAAATAACTATAAGATATTTTGCAATGTTAACTGCAAAAGTATGAATGTTATTTACATTCTAGAATGTTCGGTTTGTGGCCTCCAATATGTTGGTGAGTCAAAGCAGCCTTTCCACAAACGCCTCAATGGCCATAGGAGTGATATCTCTAAGAAGCCACTTCTCCCAGTTTCTCAGCATTTCAGACAGTCTGGTCACACACTTGATGACTTTAACCGCATGAAGATCCTAGTGATTGAACAGAACATTCACTGGAGTGATGCCCAGCGACAGGTTCGGGAAAGCTTTTGGATAAAGGAACTAAATGTAAATCATCCAAACGGCATCAATAAAAAATACTAAGTTTTATTTTTCACTCATTTTGGGTTGTAAATATACACAGTCACGTATATTTGAGTATTGAGTTTTGTTTTATATTATGATGTTCAGGATTTTGGATTAAATCAATAGACCAAAACTTACCTGTATTATTGAGCTATTTTTATACATATTATCAGTATTGTTAAAATAATTGACACCGAAGAAGGCTATTTGTTAAGCCGAAATATTTGTCAACACGATTTATTAACAACATCTTCGTATTATACCATCTTATATTAGTATCGTTGTGCAAATCTCTAGACTTATATATATATATATATATATATATATTGTATTTTCAATGCGTATACATCTATAGCACCATCTACGAAAACTACACAAAGGTAAGCACTCAGTGGCAATCATTACGTTTTTAAATCTATTTTAATTTAGTAGATTTTAAGTTTAATCAAATTTATCTCTGTTTATGTGCAAAACGTAAACATATTCCTCTCTTTTTCTTATTTTTGTGTGTGCGCGTTGATGAAGAAAAAAATAGGGGAAATTTTCAATTACAAATGTTAAGTTAAAACTGTACAGTTAAGATCTGACATTGAATTTCCTCATTGTATTTTATAAATTTCAAAAAAGATATTTTATGAATATAAAATGAAATGTTCTTTTTCGACGTCATTTCAGTCCGATACTGACATATTCAAGGAAAATCATGAAAATCAAGATTTCAAATCAATGAAAATTTATCATGTTTATAACAAACCAAACAATTTCATCTTATTTGATGACTTTCTTCTTAAAAGCGCATTTCATTTATTGCATTTATGACTTCTTTTTAAATTTAATCAAAAGTTATAAACATATTTCAAACTCTTATTTCATCAGTAAGAAAGGTAATAGCGATTTTGAAGTTACTATACATAAGATGAAAATCTTTAAAGATATAGACAAATTTGATGAAGCATTGTTATTGAAATGTAAACATTATTACCTTTCATTTGACTTTACCTTATTCACTTTTTCACTCAATGATGTTATGATATTGTAATTATGATATTTACTTATCTTGGCCTGAATTGTTTCGTGTGGCCTTATAGTTGTTTATAAACTGATGTTATAATTGCGCAGTTAAAAAATTACAGGAATAATCATAAATACTGAATGAATGATTAAAACTTTCTATTTGACTTACAAAAAGATTCCATAAAAGTTATACACTGAGGGATAAGTGTGTTTGGATACGAAACTCCGACGGCCGGAGGTCGTGGATGTTTTTCATCCAGACACGCCGTATCCCGAAGTTAATAAATAACTTACACCCAATGCTTAACCCTATATTTGTTTATGTTAATTTTTAAATGAACCAGAACGGATGGCATTTTTTATTAACAATATCATACCATAATTAAAGGGGGATTATTTTTCTAAATTAAACCCCACTTGTAACCTAACTTTGACGATATTCGTTCAAACTTTTACAAGTATTAGGTTCCCCGAGCGTGGATAATTTTATATAATATGTCCTGCATTCAGTTTAGCCATCTGTTTGTTATTTAAGACTGTATGTTGACTCGATGTCTTGATAATTCTGTGACGTTAGTTTGGTGTCCTATCAAAGTAAACCACGTCAGTTTTAATCTAGCGTCGTAACACAGTACATTATATATATGGCATAAAGATAGAATATTTACAGATCAGGTCACTTATCTATAGTAGAGGATCTTACAAATTAATGTACGATGCAGTCACAGAAATAATTGTATTATAAGTACGTCTGAACCAGAGACAACTCCACGAGAGCTTTAATCTATCGGATTACCAGTAATGGCGATACAAGGCTGAAAACACATATATAGACAATGTATTTCCCACAGAGAATTTTTTTAAAGTTAAATGTTTGCCAATTTTATTTTGAAGTTTCGTAAAGCATAAATCATAGAATGGAACATTCATATGCACTTTATGAGATGAAACATAAAGATCATATCTGGGAACCAGTATATAAACAAAACAACATTTGAGTATTATATATTGAAAAGATGCGTGGTTTGCGAAATAGCTGTCTTTATAAAATGCAACCTATATTAACACAATTTTTCAAAAAGAAAATCTTGAAAAAACTCTTTTAATCACAATAATACTTATTCGTCAAAATCATAGCCTAAAAGAAATCAATCCATGTGCTCTTACTTTTCATTGACAGTACATTAAAAAATTCCCGCCCTTCTTTCAATTAAGAAGAAAATTGAAAAACAGACTTTTATTACTTTCGGCTTACCAATTGTGCACGTTTGTGTGTGGCGTAAATAGAAACTGCACTAGAATAATCAAAGTTTAGCATATAGGGTTGTGTGGCTTATTTCTTCAACCTTTATATGCATCGAACTTCTACGAGTTTAAACTCACAACTTGGGAATTTTAAAACTTCTGTACTCCTCACTTCACTTCTCACAACGATGCTTATTTTTCAAAATCATAGCCCAAAAGAAATCATTCCATGTACTTTTCATTTATAGTACATTTAAAAATTCACACCCTTGTTTCAATTTAAAAAATATGAAACTGAGACTTCAATTATTGTCAGCTTAATAATTCCTTTTTGTACGTGTTTTCTGATGTAAATTGAATAATATTTTATAGGTCAAAATATAGGGCTCTTTGGCCTATTTTCATCCTTTATATGCCTCGAACTTTTAAGAGTTTAACTTATACTATAATATTGAATAACTCCACAATTTACATGATTAACGTTTGGTTTTCCTGGAAATTCAGTTTGCCGCTGTCCATCTGTATTCGTACTGGTAAAATTCCAAAGTTGTTTGTTTTTCAGTTGAAACATAGGTATAATATCTGGGAACTAGTTTTTAAATAAAAATACAGTATATCTATTATTATCATATATCTCCCCAAAAGATTCATTATTCTTATGTTGAATAGCGTTATACAACTATTGACTTCATTTACGAAACAGCTGCATTTACAAAGTGCAACCTAAATTTAACTGATTCAGTACCTAAAGAATAGGAATGTCTATCCCTTACTGAGAAAAACTTTACCTCATAGTATCTTTGTATAATTTAAAACAAATTCAAAAACATATAAAACAAAGAGATGAAAAGGTCCTAATTTGTATCGTTATCTTGAATAGAAGATGAAGAGACAAATACCGTAGTACAAATGTATAAGGTTACATCATAATAGAATCCTGAAATAAATACTTCTTTTTGTTAATTTATATTTCATACACGCGATTGACAATAAAATCGTAAAAGACGAGAAGCTTTATTATGAAACTAATTTTATCTTTAACATTTTTGAAATATGTGAACATTTTTCCATTTTATAGTTTATTACATAACAGGTTATCTTCTTATACATATCGTAAATGAGCACTTTTTGGGGCATTAGTAAATTATAAGGGTCAACATGCATGCAGAACATTATACATTGTAGTTAGAACACAACCTTAATAGTTCGATTTTGCTTTTTGCTTTTTGCTTTTTTTTTACTGTAATACTTAGCCGATATATCATTATCCTAATTTGTTGATTATCATTTTTAATCAATATGATGTTCGTTTCATATCATTTCTTTATTGGTCACATTTCTACTTTCCTCTGAATCTCCTATTGTAACATCACGAAAAAAAGGTGAACATGTCAGATGATGTCAAATAGAAGGAACACATCTTTGAGCAGATAATTAGAAAAGAAGGCTTACGTTTGTGCATATCGTCTAAAATTATTAGAAAAACAAATGTTAGCACTAAATATTGTGCAATCCATTTTACAGTAATCACTTACGCGTTTAAGCTAAATCAAAATGTTACTATCATTGCTCATAAAACAATTGACTCGGTATATATGTAACACTCAGAAACGTGTCCTTCCCCCCAAACGTGTCCGATTCCCCTAAACGTGTCCACATGACGTCACTGAACTGCAATACATGTCTTGTGAAAGGGCGTCAACGCGTGCCATATGAATGCTGGATGTTAATGTAAGCGGCCATGCTCAATTGAATTGTAGATATTAAACCAGATACCTCTTGTAGAGAGATTGTCCCATTCTCTGCGCATTAAAAACTATGTAGCATTTAGCTCTTTCATAGTGCCATTGTATTTTGGGAGGCAACATTTTTTTAAAATTTCCACGACTTTTATTCAAAACGGCCTCTTTTACATAACGGAGATTGAAGTAGTTTCTTACTGAAGTCATATAACAAATCGGTCTTTACGAGCTCTTAAATGATTAGATGAAAATTCCAACTAGTGTAAATCCCGTTAATAACCGTAAAAATTTAGGCCCAATCCATCGATCCCGGCACGATACTAGTAACATATCAACAGTATTTATTCTTAACATGATGTCGTTCAAATAATGCATGAAATATTTGGCACTGGACGTTATGTCTCTTGTTCGTGCGTCTTTTAAATAGTGATGCTAGAAACCTGCTGAAAACCCGCCGTGCAATATTCGGGTTGATATAAAAGCATCATCGGAGTTTATAAGTACAAAATAATTTACATAGTAAACGATTAATTTAACTGTATTAGAATTATTTGTACAATCGCTCTCAATGAGCATGAACTACTTGCAACAGGACAATAAGCAAATACGGTCAAAAGTTAATTTATATGTTACAGATTGAATTTACAATAATATTATGAAACTAGTAATCATTACAACCGGTTATGAGCTAACTAATGCTTATAAATGACAACTTCATCAACCGTGTCCCCAATCATAGAATTGCCGTAAACGTAATTGATGTCATTTAGAACATACACGTATTAGCGCTAAAAGACGTGAGACGTTCTGGAGTTCAGTAGTGGACACGTTTTAGCGAATAACAATTATCGGAAACGTTTGGGGGGTTATGAAATCGGACACGTCTGGGCAATACTGTATATTACGGACAATTTTGGGGAGAAAAAATGTTTGGGGGAATCGGACACGTGTTTGGGGATGGACACGTTTGGCAGTGTTACATATATACTACCACGGGAGTGTTTTTTATTACCTTGACTGCTTACGAGAGTCTAATTCTATCGGCTTCAGTTTATGAATAATAACTATCGGTCGGTCAACTCGACAAATACAAGACCTTTAGTAAGAAAGGAATCATCATAACTTGATAAATGGAGGACGTTCTGTTTATTTCTCTGGTTTATGACATTTTTACTTTACAACAATTTAAAACATGTTAAAGGAACTTATTCAGAATAATTATTTTCTCTCTTTTGTCTTACAACACACTTTTTCAAATTGAGAATCAGGATAGAATATTATAACATAGTTGAGCGTTCCTTCTGGTACTCGTCTTTTCATCTATTACTATGAGTTTATTAATATTCGTTGGATACCAATTGTCGTGGAATTCGTGGGTACTTTGGAAGCATGAATTTAGATGTTCAACGATTTACAAATTGTCTAAAGGAATGTACGCAAATTTGAACAAAAACCACGAAATAATATACTCACGAAAATGCAAGTCTTTCTCAATCCACGAAAATTGGTACCAACGAAATTAAATAAATCCACAGTAAATGGATTGAAGAATTGTATTTGTATAAAACCTTCAAAGAATATTTAAGATAAAAACTATAGAGAACCCCTTATTGGCCACAACGCACGCTCGCTTTTTAACGATTTTTAACAAACTGTAGTTTGCATTATAATCGTGGTAAATTTTAATATAACAAAGGTCATTATGTAATGATTAAATCACTTTTCATTGACATTTGGTAACGTCCGGGCTGATTTCCAAAACGACTAACCTATGGTTCTGAAGGTAAATAGTTGACAGAGGCATATAAAATGTCACAACCTTCTATTCACTAAACTACGTAGATGAACCCCAATAGAGAATGAGAATATTTGGTAATTAGATTATGTAAGAGTAAATTTAAAGTTTTAAAAATAACGTCCAGGCATGATAACAGCATACATTATCACAGTAAAAATAATGTAACACGGCAAAAACACACACATACATAGATCGATGTCCAATACGGTGTGAATCGCGATAGTATCATTCTCTTAGTATCATACGCATAAATATCATAAACATTTGAATTTTTTTCAATTTTAGCATAATTAATTCCATCTCACTTATTGTCCCTTTGTGTGTTGTAAAAGTTAAATTATACGTTTAACGATATTTTTTTTTAATTTCAGTGTAATTATGGAGGTGAAATGATTGTTTCTGTCTTAATCCTTTAAAGACTAGTATAGAAGTATAATGGTATAGTACAACCACCATTGGCCAGAACACACGATTACTACATGTATATGTAAAATCAAATGAATCAAATGTTATAACAATCTACAGTAGTTTGCATTTTAATCAAGGTAACAAATGGCCTTACGCGGAAAATAAATTAATTTTTTGAAACACTTTACATAAAAATATGGAAACATTTGGGTTGTTTATTGAAAAGAAAGTCGTTCTGAGAGAAATTATTACATAGGAATACTGAGTATGATGATTATGTCATGGCAGTTTCGAGTTCCGTTTGATATTAACCCGATATATTGTTGAGGGATAATTTAAGATCATTTTTGTTTCGTCCAAAAGCATGAAATTAAATAAAAATACATTTTTGAATCCAGATACGAAAAAGGAACTTAACGAATGTCAATGACATCCGGTGAGGTCATTGCGTAGCTAATGTTGACAACGTTTTAAGTTTAAAACACCGAAATGTCGAATTCTTTACGCTGTAGTTGTTTCAAAAGTATTTTTAAGTACTGTTTGTCTATTGGTCGTTTTTCGGTTTGTTTGAAACCACATTCTCTTTTTTTTTTATCTAGTTATAATTCTGATGAACCCGTTTGTACATTTCGCCTATTAATCTAATATAGATAAAGACGAATGATTAAACAATGACAACAAAAAAATAACGACGATTTAGTATTTAATTTTCAACACACGCCATATAAAGTAAACTTAATGCGTGTTAGAGTCATATTGTGCATAGTGAATATATACGCATTGGTCAAAGAAATACAATGATACTAATAATTACGTTTAAAACTGTACGTCTAAGAAAATTTGAATGTTATTGTTTACAAATCTAATACACGAAACAAAGAAATGGGATTCAGAAATACATTTCAATTCCTTGCTTTCCAAATTTGACAACATATTTCAAATAAGACAAAATTGATGTCAGTTGAACATTTTTAAACCCTTACTTATTGGATTTATCTGTACTCAGTTAGTTAATGAATTCAAAAAACTGGTTTATCAAGTAAAACTCGTAGAGCAATTTATCCGGATGAGTTGATACAAAGCTGAATTTGTTCACATGGGAAATGCTTGTTAAATTACATATAATTAAGTATAGGTATAAACTTTTCACACCAAATGTTATGTCAACTGGTGCCCTTTTAATTTGTGATATATCTATTCAGTCATTACGTGATAACTTTTCTTTATTTATTAATGTTAATACTAGCAAGTGCAATATTTTCAAGAGTATAAGTCTCAATTTTTTTATTTTTTACACATTTTATACCATTTTATAAAGCCCTAGAGAACTTTGACCAGGACTACTGTACTAGCTTATTTACAATTTTGATTTGAAAATTAAAATATGTCACTTAACTATTATTTGAATTTCTTTTTTTTTTGTATTACAATCAATTATTCTTAAATATTTTTGTAAATTTTTTTTCTCGAGAATATTTTCCAGTACTTTGCAGCTCAGAAATATTGAAGAAGCTAACGGGCTTTTTATACTATAAAGTCACTATTGTAACTCGGGTCACACTTTTAGATACAAACATTTTAAGGATCAAAATAATTCCGTGTTTTTTGCATTTAGGTTTGTTAAAAGTGTTACAGAAGTTTTACGTAGAGTTAACTTGTACCTTGTTATAAAGATTGACGTCGTAAAATCATCAGTCCGAATTTTAACCAACTGACTGTCTTTTAATCTTGAGGCGACATGTTTCTAATAAAGAGGGAGATATTTCTTCGTTTCGATATCACTACATATATATAAACCTATTTTCCTTTATAGCTCTCATAAAATTTTGTGGTTTTTATTTGGATTTTGTTGGGTTTAGTTTCATGTACATGTACTAGGGATATCAACATGATAATAAATAAAATTGATCAGCGTTGGTATGTTCAATAGTACACCACGAACCCGGATAGTTATGTGGTAGATTCTTACGAATATTTCGAACTAGTTTCACAAAATGGCTCAAGTAAAGATGTTTAAAATGCCATCCTGTATTGTCTTTAATCAATAAAACAGAATAACCCTGCGTCACTTTAAATAGTTACAGTAATGCAAGATATCATTTCAGATAAATGGGCGTCATCTCTTGGATGAAAGACGAATCATGTTATTCTATCATATGCTTTTGTTTCGTATGAACACATGCAACCCATGACGTATAAGAGAAATTGAAGTTATACCAAAGCCTACTTTATCAATCAACACCTCACTGTTCGTGTACATGTAGCAAACTACTACGCTTTTTAAATCTTATCGTTATTAATTTAAATAAAAAAGATGAGGCCTTTAATTTTAGACTTATGAGAAACTCCATGCCTGTATATAATCATATTACTTTCGGATTTTATCTTTTTGTAGTTCAAAGATGACTTTACGACAATATTACAGATTAATCCTTTGTCTAATTGGATTCAATGTCCGTGGGGAACAAGGTTATTATGAATTATAGTTTTGCCAAACAGATTCACGATACAATTAAACGGACCTGCAAAAAATATCGGGTAGATCAACAAACATAGCCATCCACCAAAACTGACATCTGTAAGAAAACATAATCTAACACATGATGGCAATAGTATTAGAACATTGTACTATTGAACCATTGTTCAAATATCATTCATCTATAACGAAGATCCTAATCATCAAAACAAAAAACCAAGGGAAAAGGGCTAGACAGATTGATAATCGGGAATAGAACACAATCCGTTAATAAAATATCTACACGAGTATTCTGGTATCTCAAGCTCATAGCCTGTGAAATTATCATAGTTTTTCCAACAACTCGCTCAACATTGGAACGAAAGTGATGATGCCCCTAAACGCACGAATGATGTTCACTAAAACCAAAGTTTTTGACGGAAATGAATCGAACTAGAAAGTTGTCTAATAGCGGGGATTTATAATTTTTACATACTCATCCCTTTGAAAATTCCTCTGTTTGAATGAAAAAGTACCGCAAACCTATCCAAAAAATGCATCTTTTGTTTTTAAGTAATTTTCAAGATAAATATGTACTTAGTATCACGTCCGTTATCTTTTTTTCATCTTTTTGAGCAAATAACAATGAAACTTCAATGTAACATATATGAAACAAAGCTAGGGAAGTATTATATGTATATATACCTAATCAAGCGAATAAGAATGTCCTAATATAACTTTAACTTTAAAAGGAAATGAAATGTTAGATGTAGTTTTAACTCTGTTTTCTTTGATCTTCAAGTAGCATTTTCTGTATGCCTCTTTTTAAAATAAAATCTGATTTGTTAAAGAATAATTACATTGCTAGTTACATTAAAATGAATAATTAATGTTTAAAAATTTTGCAAAACGTTTTTGGAATTTTTGGTTTTTGATACTCGTGTTCTTCGTAATTTTTTTTTTTGGCCTTCCAGTTGTTTCGGTTTAAAACCACTATTGCCTTTCCCTTATTATTCTTTGTTAAATTTGCACTTTTCAAAGAAATGTGCAGAGTTTATTTTTGTTTTAAATAAAGAAATTCTTGACATGACTAAAATAATATCCTGTCCGGTATTACCTACAAAGCTTCATATAACATTTCATTGCATATAAGAAAATAACCCCTACTGGATTCACTAATTTACTGCAATAAAATGTAGGATTTATTTCCTACCATTGTCCATTCAAGGGAATATTTTTGTTCGACCCATTTTTGTATTACACCTTTTGATATAAGCACTACTCTTAAATCTTGAGTGGACGAAAAGAACGTGTAGGGCAAATAATTGTGAGCCTGGTATCTTTGATGACAACATCTGATGTATTCTCCTACCACGTATTATATTTTCTAAAAAAAAAACACCACAGAAAAAAATTACCATAGCTGTATTTTGCAAATCTTTACAAATGTTGGGTACTCAACTCTCTTCAACTTTATACTTCAGTTGGCTTTTTAAATTTTTTCATTCGAACGACACAGATGGGCCCTTTGAAGACAAAACGCGTCTGGGGTAAAAAGTTTCAATAGTGGTATATATAATTAATTTATTCTAGTCTAATCGAGTTGACGTCTTGTGTAATAAGCCAAACCATATTGGAAACCAGCAGGAACTCACTAAAAGGAGAAATACGAGTACCAACGATTGTATCCGATCAATCAACTGTATGTCTTGGCGTCAAAACATATGTATCTGGTCATATAACAGCCTAATTTATGTACAAAAAATGAACGATAAAACAAATATGTGACACATCAACAAACGACAACAGCTGAATTACAGGCTCCTGACTTAGGACAGGCACATACATACAGAATGTGGCGGGGTTAAACATGTTAGTTGGATCCCAACCATCCCCCTAACCTGGGACAGTGGTGTAACAGCACAACATAAGAACGACGTAAAAAAAATCAGTTGAAAAAAGGCTTAACCCATTACATAAATACAAATAGAAATACATCTAAAAAAAACACAGAGTGGACGTGGTACGTTTCAAAGTAAGAAACAGTCTGATAAGGGGTCTAATTCTAACATTTTAATTTTATAAGAACAAATACATATCAAAACTTAGTATTCAAGAATCATTAATATCATAACTATAATCACCTTATGTTTCAGTTTCATTAAACCTGGTGACAAATACTATTTTAATTGGACAAGATGTCGTACTGACCTGCATTGTCCATGGAATACAAACAATAGACAGAAAAACGACCAGACAGTGGTCCATGGGAGACGATGACGAACTTATATGTTACAATGGCCGAATAAATAATCTTAGAAAGTATGGCGAGAAGATACTTTTTGGAAATGAGTTTTGTCTTACAATATTCAATATAACAGTTGCGGACCTCAACAAAGTCTATCAATGTCGTTATGGATTTAATGCAGCAAGTAAATTAATTGAGGTAGATAAACCCAAATCATTTTGTAAGTATGAGGTTTCGTATGATTAAAACTAACAAAATTTTGATTGTGCGTGTCCAAAGTCTATAGCCTGTAATTCAGTGGTTATCGTTCGTTGCCTATACATATTTGTTTATATTTAAATGCCTTATCCCCTTACTTAATTTTAGCTGATAAAAGTCAGCATTCGTTTTAAGAGGCGTTACCTCCTAAAGATGAGTAATCACATTTCACGCAGTAATTTAAAGTTTAATGGAATGATCACCTACTCATCTCTTAAGTATAATTGTAGGATGATGTTCTATTTTTAGAAGCTTACAATCCTTATAAATTTATAGGTAGAAATGTCTGCCTATGTGTAGTGACAACTGTAAATTACACCTTATTCATTGGATTTCTTACCATTGGAATTATCATAAAGTGCATGGAAAATCAATCCAATATTGTTAATGTTAATCTGATTTTTTACCCTTTTCAAACCGGGCTAGAATTTATACATATATATAAATATATATCCAGCATGTGTCAATTATTTTTTGTTTGGTTGTTTTACCCTTTCGAGTAAAGTTTGATTGAATTATAAATATCTAAACCCGCTATATTAAGAAATAGCAAAATCAAAGCGTTATAACATACATCAGACATTGGGACGGAACTTAGTCGGTGAAATTAATTTGTTTGTAGTGTTATTGCTATGTTCATGTCATGTCCGGTTTTTATCGGTTGATTTTTGAAAAATGTCAACATTTCTGAAATACTTTTTTTTAACTTTTGGTGTTGTTTGTCATAGGGACTGTGGTAACACAATTTTCATTATTTTGCATATGCCCTGTACTACAATTTTAAGTGAAAATACTTTACAATTGTGTGTCCGAAGCGATTTTCTGGATTTACGTACTTTAATCATGAAATTGAAAATGTGGAAATACAATGATTAGATACACGTTTTACTATAAAGACGCTGTAATTGTAAAGATCCACGAGTTTGTTAGAGACTTTGATTTTGAAGTGGTCTTTCCTTTTGTATTGTTATGCCTGACTACAAACTTTAAGACATTATGATATTTATGATATTCTTGATATTTGACAAAGTTTCATTAAAGTTGGTTTTGGAAATACTTATGCTATTGACTGGATTGAAACTTACATGTACCAAAAAAAACCTATCATTTTGATTTTGTTTCAGTATCATTAAGATTTAAAAACCGATCTCATCATATTCGGGGGAGGTATCATATTGACATGCACTGTAAATGGGATAAACACAGTAGACAGAGACGTAACGAGGCAATGGTCTATGGGAAATGACGACCAACTTTTAAGTTACAATGGCAGAATAAATAATCACAAAAAGTATGAAGAAACAATTATTCCAGGGAATGCATTCAGTCTTATAATATTTAATCTAACAGAAAAAGATGTAAATGTAACTTATCGATGTCGATATGGATTCGATACCGCCACATACTTCATCAAAATAAGCGAAAGTGCAAGTCTACAAAAAAGAGGCCCATGTTATCAATCTTCAAATATATCATGTCATGTTGCAGAAATCCAAAAAAACGAAGGGAATTTAAAACGTAATAAAACAATTTCCTTTAAAGGTAATCTAACTGTTATAATAAATTCATTTCCATTCTATACTAGTGATTTATAAATAAAATTATCTTTTGACATGTGAATATATTGATTCCTTTGTGGAACGTTTGTGTATATTTGTAAAAAGAAATGAAATAGAGACCTAACAACATCTTTTTATCAACATGAAAACTGCCATTTTTATGTGTTGAAGAATTTTTGTTATCGTCGCTGGGCTTCCAAAATGTCGTATATGACTTTTTTGGCTAACATTACTTTTTCACACAAATCGTCTTGGCGGGAGGCAATCTTTGATACTCCAAAATAACATACAATTTGACCAATCAAAACATTTGAATGAGGCTTGTGACGAAATTGCCAATCTCAACTGCTTGTAAAGTTTGCTTTCAAAATGTTGTATGTTAACTTGAAAAGTGTTGTATAATGGCTTTGGGAATCAAATACTTGTTCATTTCTATATTTTTGTTAAAATAAGTTTAGTTTTAAAGTAATCCACGAACGTCATAGTCTTTATTTCACTGCCATTTACAAAAATATTTAGGTTCACTCACGACATTTTGGAAGCATGCATTTCAACCAAATTCTGTTTGTGGGATGTTTTTTATTTATTTTTTTTATTAGTAATTTGGTCCGGGTACACAGTTATCGTCCTTTGATTTTCGTTGTCCACGAATATAGTCCCTAGTGTGGACAGTGTGTTACTTGTCGATTTTTTTTATACCCCTTCCAAATTTATTTCTCCATGTTTTATGACTCAAATAGTAAGTAGGGGGGTGAAATGACACTGTAAAAAAATTTGGGTCATGAATTTTAAAGTAAAGTAGTGATTTGGTCCAGCTGAAAAATGTTAAAAATTAGCACTACGGAAGCTGTCTAAAGATTTAAAGACCCCCTTAACATGAAATTGTCCATATTTTGAGTTAGAGCCGATGAAGTTTTCTATAATTTTGATATAATTTGTCCCTAAAGTAGTACAACACACTGTAAAAATATTATTGAGAAAGCGCAGGTGAGATTTTTTTAATTTTCATTTATTGTCTAAAAGAAATCCACTACGAAATAACTGTGTACTCGGACCTAAGAGGTGAAATCAGGAAATATAGAATCTGTACTTTGGCAACTTCCCTGAATGATTTAATGGTGTCAATTTATCAAATAGCATAAAACTAAAGGATTTAAACTTTTATTTGATAGAATTTCTGCAAAAATGACCAATTTTGGCATTTTATGGTCAAAATAAGCATTTCATAGCTTTTTCAATTTTGATGCATAAGTGGCATTCTGACTTTCTATCTGACAGGTTTTTATGTGTCAATATTTGTGTTTCTATGCTTCAATCCAGTTGTATTACTCATTTGTGAACTCTGAATCTACAGAAAAGAAGATTATCTTGGACAATTTGTGCAAAATGTGTTGTATATATGATCCTCGTCTAACGCCCTGTTTGAATCAAGTTAAATGTGAGGAGCTTGGAACATAAAAGTTGAAGTCCATTATAAAGATCTCACTAAATTTGTATAAAAAGCACTTAACAATGTCTTTTGTACCTGTTTTATGTCACATAATATCTTTCTTTTCTTCTGTAGGATAGCAAGTGGTTCAAATATAAGCCTGTTGAGACTAAAATTGCATGCATGTTTTTCACTAAAAAGTGAAAAATCTTTGTATCAGACCATACTGTCTGCAAAAAAAGTTGAATGCAAGAGTCTTTTTGTGCTCAGATTTATTGTATCATGTCACCTGAGCATAGAAATGATAGAAAAGACACAAAATTTTATTTCCTATAGCTTCAATATGCTTTTTTAAATGTAAATATGTGATACGGCCTAAATTGACCCTAAATTATTTTCAGTCTTACTTGGCCTAAGACCCTTTTAAACTAATGTGATGTGTTATTTGTAAGTTTTCTTTCCATTTAAAGTACATTAAATACATATGTAAGGATTAATTATAACCAAAAAGCTTTACAAATTTAAAATTGCTGGAAAATATAACATCTTCATGTAAGGCCCCCCTTCATTGGAAAACCTCCATTTTTAGCCACAGGCTCATATAAATTTGACTTTTTAATAATTATGATAAGTCTGATAAATCAAATGAGTACTCTTTTGCTTTTAATACATAATACATAATATATTAAGGCATTTCAAAAGTATTTTTTTGCAATATTTTAATTTTTTAAGCCCCAAATGTTGATAGTTGAAAATTTCCAATTTTAACGTCTAAATTTAACACGCAAAGTTGAATATAGAATTAGTCATATTGTCTATAATATATATCCTATTGCCATGAAACTTTGTAAGCAGTCTTATAATTTATTAAGCTTTGATCATACCAAGTTTCATTAAGATTGGTCATCTTTTTCTACCCTATTAGGTCCGGGTACACAGTTATCGTCCTTTGATTTTCGTTGTCCACGAATATAGTCCCTAGTGTGGACAGTGTTTTACTTGTCGATTTTTTTTATACCCCTTCCAAATTTATTTCTCCATGTTTTATGACTCAAATAGTAAGTAGGGGGGTGAAATGACACTGTAAAAAAATTTGGGTCATGAATTTTAAAGTAAAGTAGTGATTTGGTCCAGCTGAAAAATGTTAAAAATTAGCACTTCGGAAGCTGTCTAAAGATTTGAAGACCCCCTTAACATGAAATTGTCCATATTTTGAGTTAGAGCCGATGAAGTTTTCTATAATTTTGATATAATTTGTCCCAAAAGTAGTACAACACACTGTAAAAATATTATTGAGAAAGCGCAGGTGGGATTTTTTTAATTTTCATTTATTGTCTAAAAGAAATGCACTACGAAATAACTGTGTACTCGGACCATTTACAACATTTTGGAAGCCCAGCGACTATAGGACTAACCAACCCTCCCCTAATCAGAGACAGTGTAAACGACACAAAAGCACATCTAGAATCAACACACAAACATAGAGCACCACCGATAAATTAACAGAAGTTTCTGAACAGTTCAAAGCAATTTACAACTAATACATAAGTTCTGTTTCCAGATTAAATATCAATCAGTTAAGTGGTAAAGTGTGATTCATAAAAATACACATCAATTCTACTTTTGATATTTTTTTGTTTTTATTGTGATTAAGATACTTGTGGTACATAGATATTTGAAGATGTGGTATGAGTGCCAATTATGGCATTATTTTTTATGATATTCTCGTATTCTTGTCTTCCATTTTTTCTTATGTGCTTTGTCAATATGCCTTTTCGAGTTTCTTCGATACATATAGCGTGGCTCTGTACTTATACATCCCGTTATTGTGCTATTTTAAAACGTGTTTGTTGCTTGTCTTTCATTATTGCTATGTGCTTTGTCTATATGCCTTTTTATGTTTTCTTTGTTAGATATATAACGTGGCTTTGTACTTATACATCCTGTCATTGTGTTATTGTACTATGGTAAATTTGTTGTATTCTTGTCATGATTTTTTGCTAATATGCTTGGTCTATATGCCATTTTGTGCTTCTTTGTTACATATTTGTTTGTTTTTAAGTGATTAAGATTATAACACAATGTTGACTTCTGTATTTTTGACATTTTTACCTATTATGTTTGTTTGTTTTGATCACGCATCGTTGTCAATATAATGGAATTGGATGTGACTGTCAGACAAGTGAGAGGTTTAGCTAGTTATAAAACCAGGTTCAATCCACCATTTTCTATACAAGAAAATGACTGTACCACGTCAGGAAGATGACAGTTGTTATCCATTCGTTTGATGTGTTTGAACTTTTGATTTTGCCATTTGATTAGGGACTTTCCGTTTTGAATTTTCCTCGGAGTTCAGTATTTTTGTGATTTTACTTTTTTTTGAAGCAGCTTAATTAGGACTTATGAATGCGAACAATTTGTCGATTAAGGTTATTGCCGATACATGAATAGGGCTTTATTTTGTTCTTTGGTCCAGTTGTTGTCTCTTTGACTCACTCCCCGTTTCCATTTAACATTTTATAAATTTTATCAAGGAGAAACGTTGTTGATTTATTATATCTGATTACACTTTCAGTTAAAAAGTCAGAACAAAATATCGAACTACAAGGAGTTCAAAACTGACCAAATCAACCGCTGAACATTTAAAACCAACCGAACGAATAGAAAAAAACACTGTCACATTCTTGACACAGTTTTTGGCATTTTCAAAAGAATATGATGGGTTTAAAGCTGGTTTTATAGCTAGTTAAATATCCCAATTGTATAACTATCATTTATAGTTCCTAGTTTTGTATCTGCACTGCACAAGGTTTTACAAAATTTGCAATCCGATTTTGCTTGGGTTTTAAGTACATAGGAAAATTTATGTTTGATTTAATGATTATTTCTAGGTTTAAAATAACAAAAATATTGAATATTTTTTATGTAAGTTGCCCTTTAATTTTTCTTTCAAATACAGTCAGAATGCCAATAAGGGTGTAATTATTATCATATACTCTATAACCTTATGACCGTAATGCAATAACCATTCCACAGATAATAACGTATATGTTCCTACTGTCGAAACTACAATCCAGTCGCCTATTCCCGAATGTGACTTACCAAATTAGACTAGTTACCGGATTTGTAATAACATGAGCAACACGATTGGTGCCACATATGAAACAGGATATGCATACCCTTCCGGGGCACCTGCGATCATCATCAGTTTCAGTAGGGTTTGAGTTACGTAGTCTTTTTTTTCTATGTTGTTTTTTACGAACTATTGTTTGTCTGTTTTTCTTTTTCTTTTTTGGGCATGGCGTTGTCAGTTCATTTTCGAGTTATGAGTTTGAATGTCCCTCTGATATCTTTCGCCCCTCTAGATCTTATATTGCTTTTTAAAATGTACGGAGGTGTTGCTCAATGTTGAAAGCCTTATGGTGAACATCTGTTGTAAACCTCCTTGTCTTGTCTACTGACTAAGTTAATAATGACAGAACGATATAAATTCTGAACCAAAAGAATAATTCTTTGACTGGAAATTAATGTCATCATATTCCTTTATCTACATCATTACAGAAAACCCCAGCACACACATAGAGGTTGATATACAAGCCTTGCTCTCCGATAATATGACGGCAAGCTTTACCGTCTGTAGTCATTTTATTCTTTATTTTCGTAAGGAAGCTACTATGCAATAGGTTCTTTTAAAAAGAAATTGAAATCGTCTTTGTAAATATTTTACGAACGCCTCAAAGACTAATTTTTCTGTAAGTAAATGTATGTGTCCCAGATGACTGAAATTTTCCATCAAACTCACAATTAGGTATTACAAACAAGTGATAGCTTTAGCTTGCTATAAAATAGGTTTAATTCACCATTTTTACATAAGAAAATGCCTGTACCAAGTCAGAAATATGACAGTTGTCCATTCGTTTGATGAGTTTGAGCTTTTGATTTTGCCATTTGATTAGGGACTTTCCGTTTTGAATATTCTTCGGAGTTCAGTATTTTTGTGATTTTACTTTTTACTCGTTTATGACTAAAAGTCTCCACCAAATTGCATGTCTACATTATATCTTAAAACGTATAGTTTACAATTCATTTAAAATGGGGTTAAATATTCAATTTCCTTATTATATCAGAATGGTGATCGATGACAAATTGTTAATGTTGAAGTGCTCAATTTATGATATTTATTTTCAGAAAAGCTAGGAACAAAAACCAGTGTGCCAGTGTTATCTATACTGATTCCGTTATTTATAATTTTGGTGGCAGTTGCTGTATTTTTTATATCAGTTGCTGTTGTTATTGCGAAACGAAAACACAAACGAAAAGGTAATTGAAACAATACCTGAAAAATTGTATTTGGTGTACCAGTATGTGCTGAACGCTCTATTTATCAGATCTTTTATAATATCAACTTCAATTTGTTTTAATCTGTTTAAGGCAGTGATATATTTGTGTGTTTAGTGTATAAGTTATAGACAACAACAGTTTCGTGATATGCAAAACTCTTAAATTATTTTTGGATAAACAAACAATAGAAAAGAATGCTGCATTATCTTCTATGATATGTTTTTAAAGTTAATACAGTCAAAAGTCATGTCCATATCACTACAAAAAATGCTACAAGTTATCTATAGTTCCATTTAAAAACATGTACCAATCTATTCGTGCAATGTATGTAGGTTTGATATAAAATTGTCATTTTCTTATAATATCGTGAAAATACTAATAGCATGTGCAAGAAGTGCTAGTTAATAACATAAACGGTACACATTTGTCTGCACCAGATGCTCATGTCGACATTCAATGTCTCTTCAGTGATGCTCCAGGAAGCTTATTGAAAATATGAAGAGCTTTTTTATCTTTATTTAATGTGGAGCTATAAACAACAAAGGACCAAAAGATATAGCCAAAGCTGGGCCAGAAACCAGAGCTTTGCATGAGGGAGATAGTTAAAATTCTTGATGCATCCAACTAAGCATTTAACAGGCTCTCTGAATATTTCAATTGGACATGAAAAATTCTCTTTTGCTGTTCAACTTTGTACTTGTTTGGCTTTATAACTATTTTGATTTGAGCATCACTAATGAGTCTTATGAAGACGAAACGCACGTCTGGCGCATTTAATTAGAAGCCTGGTACCTTTGATAACTATTTACACCACTGGGTCGATGCCACTGCTGGTGGACGTTTCGTCCCCATAGGGTATCAACAGCCCAGTAGTTAGCACTTGGGTGTTGCCATGAATATCAATTATATGGTAATTTTTATAAATTTCCTGTCTCGAAAGTAAAATTTTTTCGAAATACTCAGGATTTTCTTATCCCAGGCATAGATTACCTTATCCGTATTTGGCACAACTTTTTTGGAATTTTTGGTCCTCAAGGCTCCTCAACTTTGTACTTGATTGGCTTTATAACTATTTTGATCTGGGCGTCACTGGTGAGTCTTACGAAGACAAAACGCGCATCTGGCGTATTAGATTATAAGCCTGGTACTTTTGATAACTATTTGTAAGGTTATTGTGATAAATTTCAAGCACAGATCCAGAAATTTAGGAATGGGGGGTATCCACCTGCAAAAAGGGTTTCTAGGCTTATTTTTGATGGTTTGTATGGGACTTAAACAAATCGAGAAAAGGAAAAGAATAGTTCCAATACACCCAAATCCAGGTGTCGCCTCCAATTGCCTTCATATAGACTAATTTCTTTTCCAGGAACAAAGAACCAGAACAACAAAAATGACAAAAACACATCAGAATATAAAACATGTTTGCAAACGACCGAAGGCAAGTAAAATTAAAATAAAACTAAAAAAAAATGGTTCATTGGTCACATATTTCACTGTTGCACAAACTACATAGCTCTGTCAATGAGCAAGGTGGTGCTATAATATAAATGTTGCTATAAAGTATCGATGATAACAATGAGTTCGATACACATATGGTCATTGTATGTTGAATTGATTATAATAGACTAGCAAATCAAATGTATATCATCTTAAAAATATTATAGATTAAGATCAATTTCTAACATTCAGTGAGTCTAATAGGAAATAGTGTGGTAGTAATACTTCGTCTTATAGTTTGAAACTAAATCTAAAAACAAATTATCAAACTAAAATGTTGTTTATAGTTATGCTTTTCAACTTTTTGATATGTCTGGATCAGAATGTTCCTAAATTTCTTTGAAGGTGTTGTAATCAGTTGTTTACATTATCATTAATGTTGCCAATTTTACTGCACATTTGTACAATTAATGTCTCTTCAGTGATGTTCGAGGTCAAAATGTTTGAAAGTTAAAACCTAAAATTAACGCTGAAGAGCTCGTAAAACCAAAAAAGACCAAAAGTAAATCAAAACCCGGAAATCGGAGGTATGCACTAACGAATTGTACATTCCTTAATTTAAAAGGAATTGTATTCAAACTAAACAATATCCGTAAACAACCATGTACTAATTCTCCATAATAACGATTTTGTTTCTTTTCAGATGAATGCTTGTGAAATAAAGTATAAATTATATGATTGAAGCTACTGTCTAGTCACATTTTGAAAAGTATGGAACTTTTCAGATGAATGCTTGTCAAATAAAGTATAAATTATATGATTGAAGCTACTGTCTAGTCACATTATGAAAAGTATGACAGTTTCCGACTTATGAATAAGGGTAGCATACTTCGTTGACAAATAATTCCAGTGCTTCAATTGGGATAGACTCTCCTCTAGAGACCAAATGACGTAGAAGTTAGCAATTATAGGTCACCGTACGGCTTTCGACAATGAACAAAACCCATTCCGCACAGCAAGCTATAAAAGCCTCCGAAATGACAAATGAAAATCATTTCAAATGAGAAAACTAACGGCCTAGTGTATTTTCAAAACAGTAAACGAAAACAAATATTACTTGCAGCTACAAACGTTAACCACAGAATTGCAGACTCCTGACTTTGGTCAAGCACATACAGAATGTGGAGGCGTGTTAAACTAAGCAGGGTCTTTTTCTCGAAATATCACAAATATATTGTTATAATTTAATTTAAACAGAATTTAAAGAATTACTTCAAACTTTGGTGGGAGCACACTCGTTTTAATTGATTTCATAAAGAATTTTCAATATAGAGACATTGCAGATGTTTATTACAATTTTGTATAATAGTTGACTATTGTCCAATTAAAGTATTTGTTGGTCTTTTCTTTTTTTGCTTGTTTGTGTTTATTTGTATTTTTTTGTCTTTTAATTTGTTTCCATTTGCTCTTCCAGTTTATATATTGATATCGACAGTTATTATTAGCTGATAATTCTTGTCTCAAATTTGACACACTTCTGGAGTTTTCTATTTTTTATAACTTTGATATGAAGAATTTCATACTCCTTTGTTTCCTTCCTTATAATTTCTCACATGGACTCCTTTTGAGTTTGTTGGGTGCTTCAATTGTCGTAATTTAAAACGTTTTATTGACTATGTGCAGTTCATCTTTTCCATCCAGCATCAAGTTAAGGATTCCAGACATTCATATCTTAACCTTCATCTAGTAATGGACTATGAGGGTCAGTAGAGTTACTAACTTAAAAGATAGGATTCCAGCTTTATTATTGAGAACTTTCAATATACTGGTAAAAACTTCCGTGAATCGTAAGGAATGCAAAAGCAGGACTGGAAATTGAGTAGCTAAACATATGTTGTCATCTTATACAGCAATTCCCCCCATAATGTCCTGAACATCTTCGGTCAAATAAATTTAAACAGGCGACACAATCAATTAAGTTTTAAAGAAGTGAATTTCAATCTCCTACTGCAATCCTATCATATTTTGAAAAGTCGACAGGCATTAGAAAATGTTATCAAGAGTGCCAATCGTCAAACGTCCAAATGACCCTTGCCTGATCTTAGCCATATTGGTCAGGACTTAAGGTATTGCTATTTGCAATTTGCATAAACATGATAAACGTCAATGTGCATTCTTTCTATCAGATTGAAACAAACCTTTCTAGCAACCAGGGATTAGTAATTTAGTTTAACCACTTGTGCATCAATCAGACTTACAAAATAAATAAAGGTCAATATGCGTCTTTTTTCCATTTCCCAAAATCTTCATATCTGCCAGAGGGGTTTAACATCAGGGCAAATATCAAACGATGTATAATTACAGGGTAGATATGTAAATGGTTATTTGTTTGTGTTTACGTGTTCAGACAGTTTCAAGTAGATTCTCGTAGGTTAAAAGTCCTTCAAATATCAAAGTCTTAACAGGAATATGACAGTTTTTTCCATTCGTTTGATGTGTTCGAGCTTTTGATTTTGCCATTTGATAAATGACTTTCTTTTGAGTTCGGTCTTTGTGCTATTTTACTTTTTACATATTAATAGCACTTTTTTAAAACTCTATTTAATATCAATAGTTCATATATATTTCCTAACATTTGCACCAAACCTGTTTGCAGCTTACACATTTTCAATTTCAGATTCAGCAGAATTTTTCATTTAATATTCTTAGTTTTTTACTTGATAATTCTGTATTCTAATCAAATGCCCAAACAAAATGCCAGGAATATCTTCCTGTTCCAACTTTGTGAAAAATGCATTGGCACTTCAAAATGAGATACATAATTAAATTGCTTTAAAATATAAGTGGTGCAAACATGGCGAAGTTATTTAAATAGCACTTGGAGGACTTTCTTGATATATCATTTTTTGGTAAATAAACAATTAATATCTTTATCAAGTAACTGATATTAAAACATACTTATGCAATGTTATATGACATAGATACAAACTATGCTTTGTACTTGATAGTCACGTCAAGCCAACCAGTCTCAGCTCTTACTCCTAGATGTCATGTGCTTAGCAGAAAAACAGCAAAACTCAATTTTCAGTCTTTGGTCTGACCAGGATGTGGTCCGAACCAATGAACTCTGACACTCAAGACAAATATGCAAACCAAGAGACCACAGGTTTACTTCAGAAAGATTTCACATGTTTCATTTAAAATATGAAAAAATCTCAATAGAATATTTACAGAAGATGAAAACATGAATCGAATCAATGTCTATTAAAGATTCAAATAGCATTTTAAACAATCACAGAAATTTGAATCTTCGTAAATATGTATTTTATTGTTTTTGTCTGTACTGCATTATTTTCATCATATACCATCTTTGGTCTAGCTGCACTGCTTTTAAATGCATTTCCATACATACCTGAGATCACCCCCAGTTTTTGGTGGGGTTCGTGTTGCTTAGTCTTTAGTTTTCTATGTTGTGTCATCTGTACTATTATTTGTCTGTTTGTCTTTTTATTTTTGGCCATGGCGTTGTCAGTTTGTTTTCGATCTATGAGTTTGACTGTCCCTCTGGTATCTTTCGTCCCTTTTTTGTGTTATCGTAATATCTACATTAATATATGAATTTCATGTTTATGAATATTGATTTTGACCCTAAGACTCGATGACAATTATCCTTTGATAACTTTCCATGTCTGTCTTTACTGTCCAGTTTTCTGGTCCTATAAATAAGACAGTCGCTAGTCTGTCTCCTGTCAGGTATCTACAAATGTATAATCATAGAATAAAAGTAAAATTTATCTGGTCGAACATAGAGTCATGGTTACTTCCTATTTGGAATCATATATAGAAAGCGAAAATAAAAATCAACTGACCTGATCATAACAATTTTTCCATTACAGTTTCATAATTCCAGAACAACAAATATGAATATTTACAAAATTGAAAAGAAGGTAGTTTTTTTGGTTTATGGGATTTGATGAAAAAATATAGACCTTGTGTTAGGTGCACAGAACATCCTAAATTTTGAGATATTTTTAGGATCTTACTTTTACCAATCCAAGCAAGGGGGTAAAGTTTCGAGTTTAATGTGTGACATATGAAAAATTGTCTCAAATCTGACGTGTTAAAGTCATCTAACTCTGAAACGATTTTTTCTAAATTACCAAATTCGAAATTGAGCTCTCTTCACATAATAAAACATTGAATAAGAATATCTGTAATGAAAAGTTCAACCACACATGAATTGTAACAAGACATGAGCTGCGTCGGATAGAAATTAAAAGATGATTTTTTTTCTGTTTTGTAGGGCTGTTGTAACAACTCACTTTACAAACATTGCCGTAGAGATTTATTGAGATTCATTTGCATAAGGTCGATTTCTATCTGACGCAGCTCGCATTATGACATTTACCTTATCTGATAAAGAAATGTTTATAACTTATGAGTGATTCTAATCAAAAGACTTGTGTGAGAATTGCCACAAAACATTTGTTGTCTCTGTTTAATCTATTCACAACTTGCAATGTGGCATGTTAGACATAACTATAGTCCAAAGTTGACAGCAAAATAGCAAAAACAACAAGGTGTCTATTTTGATATGAAAATAAGATGATATGGTATGACCGCTAATGAGACAATACTCAACCAGCGTTCAAATGACATAGAATGAGCAATTTAAGGTCACAGCACATCCTTCGACAATGAGAAAAAAACACATACCGTATAGTAAGCCATAAAAGGCCCTGACAAGAAAAATGTTAAGTATGTTGGTTTGCTTGTGTTGCTAAATATCTGTCTATCGTTGTTTTGCACCCAAATATTCTTTCATTTACATTCATTCTTATATTTTTGTTACATTTATAACATCCTGTTTTGATACTTGGAATAACCTATCTCTCATAGTCTGTCTCATCTCATCTGTTATTCCTGGCAAAAACAGTCATACCAGCTGAACCTGAAGTAATAGGCTTGTCTGTCTGCAATAAAAAAAGAGGTTTAATTTACACAAT